TTCGTAAATGCTTGCGTAACTGCTTCGTGAATCTGGCTCCAGGACGACGAACCACTACCACATGGGGCGTCGGCATAGTGGGCAGGGGCACGTTCAGCCGGAACACAGAAGAAGTCAACTTTGATAATGTTTTACTTGAAGAAACACTTACCAGAACTGAAAGAAGTATTAATATCCCAGCGTATCAAGGTTACCACTGCCCAATTGCACAAGGTGGCACCGGAGGCATTTCAATACTAGTAAAACGATTGAGGCATAGAAGACTGCACAGGTGGGTGCAGCACGGAAGGTGTCTGCAAAATAGGCAGAGGCCTCTGTCGTCGGAACCACAGAGGGCCGCAACATGGGGGCCAGCTAAACGGGGGCCGTAACATGTCTTCAAAATCAAAAGCAAATCCAAACACCCCAGCATGGGAACCACCTCCCCCCCTCCCCCATGGGGAACGCTCACACACGGGCGGGCACCAAAGTGAGGACCGAGGCATCCTCGGCAGCACACGTCTCCTCTGCGTCCACCACAACCGCTCAGGCGACACCCCGCAGGGGAGACAAAAAGGGATCCCGATGGGATCCCCACCAGGGGCGCCGCAGCAGGAACACCTTGAGACTGCACATGGTCACGCATCAGACGGTCACGTAGCACCACAGCCCCGTCAACCATCAGAGGCACCATACCACACACCACAGCAGGAACATCACAGGGACACGCACAGCCCCTGGCAACGCACCGCCACAATCCACCGAAGACACAGTAGCTGGAGATGGGTCAGGCAGGAAGCGGGCAACGAGGGCGGAGGAGGCAGGGAAGCGGGCGGCGTGGTCGGAACCACACACTCCACTGCCGCGACACCCACACCGCCAACCGGGCAGTTCGCAGAGACTGGCGACACCACCAAGTCACCTGACGGGTCGGAGACGGCATACACATCGGCATCTCACAGTTCTCCAGGACCTCTAGCAAGGGAAAGTGTTCCTCCCGAAAGAGGTTCACAGGGTGGACACTGCCAGCACCACAACCCGCAGCTTCGTGCCCCGACAAGCCGCACCGGAAATAATTCCGGGGACGGCCAGCATAGAACACCTGGACATAAAACCCCATATGCAGGACCGACAACAATATGGGGGACTTAAGGCGCATCACCAACGTGTGGGTCCTACTCGGGTCACCCTTCCACCTCCCAGAGGAGACTGTTCATCCACACACTGAGCACCCGCCCAAACTGGGCACAGTAATTCTCCAGAAGATTCTCGGGGAACTCAAACGGGGCCCACATGCACGGTAACTTACGTGGTCTCGCCGCGTCGATCCGACACCATCATAGAACCACAAAAAGCAGAAAGGATCCCCCTATCATGATTCACGAATTCCTGGTAGACAGCCGTGGAGCCGAACTTCACCACATCCCAGAGAAGAGAGACATCTTGTACTCCATACTCCTCTGCCACATTCACCTACACAAGGTCCAACAGCAGGGGTAAGATTCCTGTTCGGTGAATTCCAGGCCAATTGTATCCTTCCACAAGACAGGAGGCAACGGTACTCCCATATCACAGGCCAATAAGGCCCCGCAACAGCACTCACCAACCACTGTACCCAACTAGGCCTGACAAACACTGGAGCATACAACAACAACTCTGTCCTCACCGACAGCCAGACGAGGAGTCACAAAATAGACATTTAACACTGGCTCAGTTCTCTACAGCTTTGCCCACTGGTGTAAGTCTGCTCAGGGTGAAGGTAAACAATTTTTTTTTACCCTTTAGGAAAGGCATAAAGCTGCTCAGAAGTCCTACCTCAAGATTAGAAGACCGGCATGAATAGCATATACCATCAACGTACATTTAGCAAACGTTGTTACTTTATTAGCTAGAAGAATCAAGCATACGTGCAGGTTATGATCAAGGAAAATTGGTAGCAGTCTTGAAAAGCTTAAGATGAAGGGTATCATCTTCAAATTTTAAAGTAGAAAATAGATTTTGAGCAGTGCGTTAGTCGTTGCTTTTGTGCATAGCCTGAGGATGGGTCGACATGAAAGCAGAAGAAATTTTCCAATTACATATTAATTGCCGAGTACGCAATGGGAACAAATAAGCTTTTTTTCATTCATTATATCTAGACGAAGATTATAAATTAAAGTTTGCAAATCAAACTTCATGAATCTCTAGTTAAAATTTATAGCAGCCACTTTTCAATAAAGATACAAAAACGAAATTGAAGTACTAGTATAAAAAAAGGATTACTATGTAAGGGAGTTAGCCAAGACCAGACAGCAATGAGAATGCACAAGGGGTGTGACACTATATACACAATGCTCTCAAATAAAAAAGGTCAAAGTAGAAATCTTGAGGACCATGGAAAAAGATTTGTAATTCAGGGAATAACACTATGCATTTAGTTTATATCAAAGTAGACACGAAAAACTCCCATATTAGATTACCTGCGACAGAAAATTTGACTCCCGAAGATCTGTGGTTTTTAGAATCAGTCTGTAGAGCCTGGTTCATATGCCAGCTGCACCCTAAATGTATTTTTTGATCACTTCCCAACTGCAGGGAGAAACAGTCTATAGACTAACAGGTTTTATGAAGCCTGGACGTATTTAGCACTTATTCACTGTGATGGAAAAAATTAGGTGTTCGGCAGTCCTCCCAATGGCTGGTGTCAATGCCTATCACAAAAAAAAAAAAAAAAAAAAGTGACTGCATAGCTGTTGTGTCCTGTGACAAAGGCAAAACAAGCAAAACATAGTATGAACAATGAAACCAATTAAATTTAAAACAAATTATGAATAAGAATTCCTTGGCTATGTACAGTGTAAACTCAAGATTCAAAAAATGACAAAATATAATGGTGACGTTACTCTAAAATGGATGAAGACAATGAAATTAACAGGTGCCAAGAATAAAGCGCTGGCTGAAAACATCCACTAATAGACATGGCTGAAAACATCCACTAATAGACAGCGTATATATCAGATGGTTGTTTCAGCTTGAGAGCACAGAATATTCTAACTCCAATGGCTGGTATAGGCCCAGACATCGGCTAGGTAGATGGCACTGAGGTGCAGAAGTACAGTGGTGCAGATGTCGCTTCACCAATCAGAAGCGGGCAGGCTGGAAATGCTAGTTTGGTGATCGGCGACGAGGGGGGGGGGGGGGGGAGGTGCAGAGCAAGTGATACGTTTGCGCCTGGCAAAATATATTTGACTAAATATGTACTACACTTGCTTGTAGTATCTAGACGTTTTAGATTTACTGAAGTAACATGATAGGAAAGAGCAGGCCAAATCTCTTGGAGATTATCGTAACATCACAAACACACACCACATTAACGTGATGTATATCTATGGGAATCCACTAGGGCAGGGAGTCCACAAGTCTGAAAGTTGGGACATAAGGTGTAGCACTATTTTGCTCTTCCACCCGAGTGCTTGTGGGTCCTACCTCAAAACTGGCTTCGGTAATGGCCGCCAGACTGTTCATATCCAGTTATATGACGTTTTCAAGTCAGCGGCGGTCTAGTGGTAGAGTATGAGGCTGGCAATGCCTTGGTTCACGCATACCTCATGGTTCTATGTGGATGGTCTCAATTTTATTAAAGTAAGAGTGCCGAACCTATGGTACGAATGGCGAAAATGGAACCAAGATTTAAGAAATTCCAAACCACCCATCGGTTCTTTAAATCTTTCCCTCTAAATATAATTCTAATCCCACTGATCTTACGAGACTAATTTATGACTAGTCATTCACCTAGCATGAATGATGAAGCATGTATTGCAATTGTGTTTGTTGAAGAACATCCGCTACTAGCTTTACATTGCATTCAGACTGCAAAAGCCAAGGACTTCAGCGGTGAAAAATTTTAACCAAGGAAATTATTTCTCCATGCTTTGGAAGAAAAATTGATCTATGGAATTTAATTGTCCATAGGATTACTCACGTTAAAGTTAAAAAGTCTTAAAGTTTGTCTAAACTATTCGGCAAGTGGATAAAATGCCTTTCAGAAAGGAAATTATCCATTAACAATAAGAGGTTACATTTCCCACACGTTTAAGGTTTTTCTGAACATTTAGACAGCCTTTTAAATCTACCCCATTTTTGACCGTAATGTCGAAAATGTTAATATGCATTTAATTTTATGAAATATTAAATTAGTCAAAGTTTAGTACTTATGAAGTTATTGGAAGTACTGTTAAAGTGGCCAGAGTAATTCAATTTATGAAGTTAAAACTAACCGTTTACTAATTTAAAATTTACAAACATTTTTAAAGCTCTAGGTGTGTAGTAGGCACGTTTAGAGATCTGGTCCGATTTTTGTATTTCTCCACGTCTTAAGTTTTATTCATTCTACAACTCTGGTAGCAGAAGTAACTTTTCATTTGTTCTGTTCTGTAATGTTTGAGTGTAATTGCACCGTTTTACAGGTTTAATTAGACGTGCGTGCCCAGTTTCCTAAATTAAGTTACATTGGTCGAACAGGTGACAATCAGTACCTTTGTTCTTTCATCCCCCCCTAAACTTTCAGTCATGTCCATTTAACTTTCATTTGTTTTGTTGCAAAATCAAATTGCAATTCTTAGAAGCAAAGTACAAAAGGCATAGTAAAATGGTTACTAGTTCCTGAAGTTCAGGAAACTTTCCACAAGAAATACCGAAATATTTGTAGTATTAATCCCTTCCCTCACATTCCAAAGGCTTCAGACATTAAATTAGTGTCCTTACTAGTTTAAATAACCTTGTTCAAGATACAAGTAAACAAGTGCGGGTCATGGTTAGTTAAAGTATATGGAAGCTAAGAACTCTGGCATGTAACTAGTTTATACGATTGTTGTGTACTCTGGATTAACTGAAAAAATTTACTGCCTATATACCACATTACTTTATATATTGGTATACAACGTAAAGATAAAAAGGTAATAGTCTTTCAGTAGTATGCAAAAATATTAACGGTTATTTTAGTGGCGTTAAGGCATTACCGGGCCAAGAAAAAAATAAGTTTACCCAATGAAATTGTTTATTTTATATTAAGGCGCTTGTACAGCATCTTCAGGTAAACTAGTAAGTTGCCACGCATCAATATCTGTTGTAGAATGGCCTGAAAAGAAAAAGGGTAAATTAAATACTCAAAGACTATAGTTTAACGACCTTTGAGAAATTTAATATTACGAGGTTCTTCTGCAAAATTGAAGTCTCACCATTGACCAAATCCAGGATAAAAGCGATGTCCATGCCCGTGACGGTAATTTTCGTAGCCATAGTTCGGTGCGTAGTTTTGATCATACCCCTGGTAATAATTATAACGGTTATCGTAGTACCGTTGGGCCACAGCTGCACCCACCACCAGCATTAATAACTGTTGGCAGAGTAAAAAAAAAAAAAAATAAGTTACATATCTAGACAAAGTTTGCCAATCCTTAAACTTGTAAACACAATAAAGAATTAAACCAACACTTACAACGAACTGTAAAGTATACATGATTAAACACAAGACAGCTGATTTCTGCAACCAGTTGACACTGACGACAGGGAGACAGCAGCGTGGTTATATAGGTTTCACCATCCCCCCCCCCCCCACCCCAGCCCAGAATGAGCGAGACGAACGTTATTTCGAACCTTCCCCATTGAGCGAGGGGTCAAAGCCTCGAACGAAGAACCATGGAAGACGCTCGACCTGCCAAGTGGATGCGCGCTGTCGAGACCCCTGCAGCCCGTCCTCGAAACAAAGGCCAAAAAGTGATTCCATGCTCCCACCAAACCCCCCTGATTATGAATGAAAAACGGTTTACACACAATTCAACTGATTTTATCCGAACACTTCCGGAACAAGTGCTTCACTGACGAATTTGGTTCGAACCACAATGTTGTAAATGCTTCACCCACGTACTGCTACAAATACAAATAATAGCCAACAGAAAGTAAACACCTAACCTAACCTATGCCCATATATGCAGAATATGCTAATATATTATAATATTAATTTATATATGAGAAAATTCCCGTTTGGAATGTACAGCATGTACAAATTTATGAATGCGTCTGTGGGGTCGACCGCTGGATGTAATGGACTTGAGTCGAGGACTGGTGACTATTGTTGGCCAAGCCAAAAAAAATAGGGTAGTTAACGCCTTCCGATTCCTTGTTTCTGCTGTTGGTTACTGTTTTTTGTGGTGATGCTCCAGGTCTCACTGATACAGGACGTATTTTCAATTTCCTGTGCTGATGGGAAATATCTTAAATGCATGAGCTTTTGTTATTTAACATTAAATGACAAGTGGATAATAGCTTTTTTATAGCTTTTTACTTTTTTTCACATAGCTTTTTTCCTCCGGGACGATGTCATTCCAATTTACGATAATGGATGTATATTGCATAAATATTTAAGTACATAAAAAGATCTCAATTGTCCAATTGATCTGAAGGTGTATGTTTAATTAGCTGGCCTCTCGACACTACATTGCATTTGAGGCCTTAACCGCATCTATCCTAAGTAAAGAAAAGATGTATTTCGCTCCTTGTCTGTATACACTGAGAACATACTTTTACCCTGGTTACCTTACCTTGAGGTTACCTTGAGGTGCTTCCGGGGCTCAGCGTCCCCGCGGCCCGGTCGTCGACCAGGCCTCCTGGTTGCTGGGATAGGCCTCCTGGTTGCTGGGATAGGCCTCCTGGTTGCTGGGATAGGCCTCCTGGTTGCTGGGATAGGCCTCCTGGTTGCTGGGATAGGCCTCCTGGTTGCTGGGATAGGCCTCCTGGTTGCTGGGATAGGCCTCCTGGTTGCTGGGATAGGTTCATTATTAAAATATATGAAGACGATGGATTACAATAACGTGGCTAAGAATTAATGACCAAGCCACACACTAGAAGATGAGGAGACGATGACTAGTTTGTGGTTTGGTCATCATTACTAAAGTATAGGAGTTGGGTGGTCAATAAACTCGCGTAAAGGCCTTTAATAACAAATGAAAAAGTTGATAGACCTTAATCCCAACACCAGTTCCTCCATATTTTGATTATATTCATCCAATTGCAGGATGTCCCTAAGGGGGTAGTCTTAAATTTGTCCATAATGCCTGATAAGAAAACGGGGTGTTATCAAGCATTATTTTTGTATTATATGTTTTAGTTTTCTGAACTGTTAGGCCTAAGGTGGGCGACGGTTAAATGACTAGTTGACAGTAATTTACATTATTTTTACATGGATAAAATATTTTAAAGATGCCGGATTCGAACACGGAAAGGAGCGATACAATATTCAAGAAAAGTTCGAGCGTAATTAGTTTTGAGTTACGTGTGAAGCGTTTTTCATTTATAAACCTGGTTTGGCGGCTGGATTAATGAGGAATTAGGTCATTATTTATTACGACGGGCTCTTTATGAGTACTAACGTGTATTTACAACACATAGTTGAAGCATTTAGAGAAACGTGATTTGAACATAGGTGAGCAAGGGATGTCAAAGCCGAGCGATGTAACCCACTGATATATAAAAATATATATATACCTTACCGGTACATATTCATGGTGAGTTTTCTATAGTGCTAAACTATGTACTGGACAAAAGTAAGGTTGCTTGCTTGTCAGCAAGCTATATGGTTGTGGTCTTAATAACCCTCCCGTGTGAGATAGAGCTTAAGGCTATCAACAAACCAAGGATGTGAGCGAAGCACTAATCGAGAATCGTGCCCGTCTCGCTCCTGTATTCTTCACGTACTCACTTCGGGACTCGAGAGCGACTAAGGTCACGCAGACTCGGCGTTGGACCCTCATACGCACTACTCGGGGTAGGGAAGTGGCGATATATTGCTATATCTGTGCTCGTTATGTCATGGCTAATGCCATGACATAACGTAATGCTTCAACGTTAGTGTCCATATTACTGTGTTGAACATGCTTGATGAAATGATTGCGAAATGATATTAAGAATATCGCTTCTTAGGATCTTGGAAACATGTGAGTAGAGATGTTTTTCACATTTTTTCTACTTCTCCCGATCAGGTAGTTATGGTATTAGTGTTGGTAGTTGTGCTGGCTGTGGCCTCCCCACGGCACCACGACTACGGTCACCGTTACCACCGTAGACCCAAGCACAACTATGGCCGTGGTTATGGATATGGATACGAACAGGGATACAATTATGGTGGAAGTTATGGTAATTGGTACGTTAATATAAGTATATCGCTAAAAATTCAATTTTTTGTTTAATGGTATTTAAATATTTGCCTTCGAGGTAGCTTTGTAACAGTGTAATGTTGCACTCTCTTTGTTTTTTGCCAACCCCGACTTGACTATGCTGGGCTTGTACCCAACAGCAATTACTGTTAAAAATTTGGTGAGGCTAGCCCCAATGGTCTGACCTTAATTTCGTACAATCCTTCTAATTCATAGATATAGATGGTATGCAATATAGAGAATAACCTTTAGATTTTGAACACTCATCTTGGCCTTCTCTACAAAAACTTTGGAAACTATCGTGGATAGAATAACGTGGTGTTATAGAGAAAACGTTAATGATAGCCTTGCAGTTTTCTATGAATTGATTAGTCTGGAAACGTTCAGATATCTTATAAAACTAAGTTATAAGGTTGTTAGTTCCTACGTTTAGATAAAATTATTTCTGCTTGTAATGCACATAAGAAACGTACATGCAAAACAAGGATTTCATCACTACATAAACAACCGATTTTTCCTGTTTTCTTTGTTTTATATCTCAACCTCAGACTTAACTATTGCTTAACCATTGTCGCACTTAAAGCAACGAAATTGAGATGATGCAGAAAGATCGTATTTGCGTAAATTTTCAAATTTATTCTCATGTAAAAAGAGACTTGGTTAAGAGTGTTTGTTTGTGGGTTTGGCTTGCTTATATATGACGCGTTGAAAACGTAAGATAGTGATAACGTTTCCATTTGTGATAACGCACAGTGTTTGGAGACTATGACCTTTACACTCGGTATGTGGAAGGCAGTTGTGAGGAAAACGAGCTGAGCCACAATGACTTAAAAAAAAAAAGAGAAAGCATATGAGGACATGGATGGATCCGGGATCGAGAGGACTGATGCTCGTGGATGGATCCGGGATTGGACAAAGGGAACGACTAGTGCCTAACGACTAATGATTGAAATAAGTGTAATATTTGTTAGCGTTGTATGCTTTGTAGGACTAAACGTGTGCGACACTAGCTCACAAATTGGCCTTAAAAACCCAAAAAATATGTTTTAGCGAAATATTTTGCTTATCCCCTCTTATTTGAAGGAGAAATCATTCATCTCTCGCATGAAAGGTTGTCAATGTAAATTATTTACAGGAAATAAAGTTCGCAACACTGCATTTGACTATTGACCGAAACTCAAGGTAAACCTTAAATATTTGCAAATAAAGAACACGGAAGGTTGCATTGTGGAAAGGTTTAGTGATAGTTGTTACTGCTCTCTCCTAGACTCTGTTTGCTAGAACTTTTGCTCTATTGGTGGCTTCCTTTGGTCGTACTCCTGGGATTTATGTTGTAAGCCTGATTATAAATGTTGAGGGAAAATACCCAAAGGAGTACAGAGAGACACAGATTGTGAACAATATTAAAAATTAATTTAAAGGTAAATAATGGTAACATGCATAAAGTTATATCAGTAGACTCACACATTACTTCTGTGACTTTCGTTAATGTGCAAGGATACGACATGGTGAGCGTATGGACACTAATATTTATATAATTAAATAATATTAAATATTGAGAACATTGCGCATCTACTTATGAACCTGTTCAGCTTTTTATAATCTTTCGCGGCTTTGTTTACATTTATTAAATAGTTTATTAGCGCTGAAGCACCAAGGGGCTGTTCATAGCAGTATCACTTGACCAGGAAGGTTCAATGCTTGTAAACTTTTCAATGAATGTAAACGAATGATTGAGAAAATATGTTTTGGTTTGTAAGTAGATGTATATGGTTGTTGAATCCTGACCCAGACACTATATTTAGTACTCCGTATCACTCAAAACGACTATACATTATTTTGCATTTAAGATGTATACAAAATGTGGAGTAGCTGAAATATCTGGCTGAGTAAACCACTCTGAGAAATTGTGAATAATTTCCGTATGTCCTCCTGCGTCCCCCATGTTTTGTCTAGTTTGACGTCGACGTCAAGTGCAGACACTCGCCCCAGAATATCAGATATTTCACAAACAGTGAAAACATCCTAAATATTTACCGTAATTATATTCTTTAAGTAGAAAAAACTAAAAGGTGTCCATTTTTCAATAAGGGTGTTTTTACATATGCTACACGATATAAATAATCGCTAAATATATAGAGGTACTACTTGGCTGAGCGGATGAATAATAGCTAGCCTTTGGCCAGCCTCGGCTGACTTAACCTCCACTTACTAACACAAAAATAATATATAATAATGTACAATAGTCAAACATTTTTTACAATATTCAAAAATTAAGTAACAGAGTCGCCGATTAAGGAATGAACATTATATTATTAGGGAGTACATACACAATTTATATTTCTTTTAAGACATTTATCCCTCCTCATTGGTGGTGTCTGAACGTGACGTAGAGGCTCGAGG